CATCAGGAGAAATTTCTTCGCTTCTACCAATGAGCTACACACGCAAGCTCGTAATCTTAGAAGTTAAAGTCCCCAAGCAATCCACTCTTGCTTTCAAGCTCCCATGAAACTTAAAAAAAAAAAAAAAAATACAATACCACCTTTCCTAATATGGCAAAAGTAACTCAATTTAGTATGCTTTGATAAATTTTCCTTTGAATCTACAAACTTAAAGTCATTGAACTCTTAAAGTCATGAATATGATGCATGAAGTGATGGTTCCCTTTGAATCTACAGCCTATCATGCTAAGGCCTAGGGGTGTCAATTTCGGGTCACGGGTCGGGTTCGGGTCGAACCCGAAACTGACCCGGCACTATTCGGGTCGTAGAATCAATCAAAGGCAAATTATAGCGTCCGGTCATCTGAGATGCGGACAACCAATTCAGAGACGTCATCTCACCCGAATGCACTGGGCCCGATATTTTTGAGTGACGTGACGTGTTTTTATTGGTGTCCGGACGAATCCGAACACCGGACACAAATAATTTGCCCAAAAATAGAAAGCAAAGATTGACAATGACCACAAGAAAAAGAAAGCTAAGATATTGGAATGTTATTCCAAAATGGTAAAAATTCTCCTTTTATTTATATCTTTCTCCCCTCTCAAATCTATATCTATATGTTAGGCTTTGATATGCGTTATGGGCTATAAGATTTGCTATAGTGAATGACATGCAACTAATGCATAAATAGTTAAAAAGCATGTTTATTTCTATTGTGGTGATAGTGTAGGTTTAACTTTGGGGCATAGAAGATCTCTTCTACACGCAAGCTTTTACTCTATTTGCCAAATGTGATAAATATGAATATATTAATTTTTTTCTTATGTATAAAATAATGATTTAACTTAATATATTTTTTTAGGTTAAGATTTTGTTTGGGACAGTTTTTTACTATTTTTCAAAGCAGCTTTCTAGTAAAAAAAATTAAATTAAAAATGTTGAACTAGAAAGCTGCTTTAACAAGCAGTACAAAAGCCGTCCCAAACGAAGTATAAGATTTTATTTGAGATAACTTTCTTATTATCTCATAAAGTTATTTTTTAGTATAAAAATTTCTAGAAAATAAGGAAAAAACAGTGATATAAAATTGTCACAAATGAAACCTAAATTTTATTTGAAACTTTTTGAAAATAATGTGTGTTTGAAAGATAAATTGTTCACTAATTTTTTATTTTTTATTTCCTTTAAAAAGCTATTTTTGAAGAAGTTAAAAAAAAAATTTGTTACTGAGAAATGAGATTTTAAAAGCAAAATTAAAAAAGCTTAAATTGTTACAAGCAAAATCTAATAATATGTGATTTGACTCTAAAGATGTAGGAGATGAATGCACAGCTCATATAGATGATCTTCATTGAATCTTCTTTTATGATATTGAAGAGATAATGATGTGATGATTGGGTCCTTTATTTATAGGAGAGAAAATAAGCTTTCTCTATGCATATCATGATACATGAACTTGGTCCCTAATAGTAATAGATATGCCTATTGAGAGTACTTCAAGAATCATATGTGATAAAGGAAATATTAAAGAGATTTAGGCTTCATTTATGACAATTTTCTTACTGTTTTATGAAGCAATTTTTAAGTTAAAAAAATTCAATTAAAAAAAATGTATTAAGAAATTGCTTCATGAAGCAGTAAGAAAACTGTCATAAACGAACCCTTGGACTTCATTCGGGATAGCTTCCTTACTACTTTTCAAAGCAGTTTTTAGTATAAAAATTTCCAATTCAAAATATTTTTGTACTAAAAAATTATTTTAAAAAACAGTAAATAAGCTGTCCCAAATAATACCTTAAATGAAATTATATAAAATTATAATTATGGTAGAATCATTATATTGCTATATGAATTAAAGGGTATAAAAAAAAATATCATCACTAAATAATTTGAGCATGAAAAAAATAATTGCACATCAAAATTGATAAATTATTTTATAATTATAGTGAAGATTTGCATTTATTAAATGTTATATAATAAGAAATAAATTAAGATGGTTTAAGCATATAAAATAAAGAATAGAAGATATGCCAATAAACTATAAGGCAAAATAAATATCAAAGATTAGATATAACAATATGGGTTGGTGGAGTATTCCATTCTAACTTGAAGTTGACTAAAATCGAAAATATTTGACCAAAACCTAACATGTTTATCATATGAGTCAAAATGTTTGCCTTCAGCCTATCTAATCCGAACAAGCTTCGTTTATTATATAATGCATGAATTTTTTTAAATCAATATGAACTATTTAACCCAAAAATCATCCGCTTAACATGAATTTTTAAAAATCAATATCACTCAATTAACTCAAATATGACTCGTTCAACCTAAATTTGAACAATAATCGAGTCAATTTGACTTATTTAGGTCAAATCAAACCCAATCAAAAAATTAATTGAGTCAATACTATCAAGTCAATCCAAATCCAGATTGTTTACTCGGGTGCAAATCAGGTCATTTATTAAACCTCTAATAAATAAATAAATAAATCAAGTTTAAATAAATCTAAAAGATAATAAATGATAATTACTATGTTTTTTTTTTTTATTAAAGACATGAATGAATGCCTTACTTACACTATAAACTTTACTTATTAATTAAATAGAAAATAAAAAATTTAAATGGTGTCGACTTTAAAGGAACACGGAACCTAGCCCTGCTTACGTGGAACAGACCGCTTTAATCCAACGCAATGACATAAGGAAGGATAGAATCTGAGATTGTGGAGCAAATTGAGGCCGACAGATTTTGATCTGTTAACAGCCATTGAGAATACAGAGGATTTTGAGATGTCACGCCGTTTTGATTTTGCACAAATTGAGATGGTGGCACAACTTTGGGATCAAGAAATGATAGAAAACCGTTTGCCCGAAGTGTTTTCAGGATTTGCGATTTCCAGATAATGAAGTTGTCAGGAGTAAGAGAAGATGAGACAAGATTTCGAAGGTTAGAGACAACAAACTTGAGTGTTGCCGGAATCGTAGGATCATCGGACTCATGGCCGGAGCTTCTTTCTTGAAGACCGGACGAAGCAGAATCTGTCATGGCTTAGGATCGTAAGCCTACGCTGATACCATGAAGAAAATGACAGAGAGAAGAAGTTCTTGAAGCAGAACTTTGTATTTTGTATTTCATTATTGTTGAGTAGATACATGCTCCGGCTCTTATATAGAGCCAGGAACCTTTTGGTTTAACTATAATTACAGAAGAACCTAAGATTATTCTAGACTAATATTTATATAATAAGTGCAGAATGTACATGTATTCTAATAAAAGTAAGTAAGACTTCGTTTGGGACAGCTTTAAATCACTGTTTTTTTTTTCTGCTTTCAAGATATTTTTGTACTAAAAAATAATTTACAAAACAGCAATAAAATTGTCTCAAATGAAGCCTAAGAAACCTCTTATAGCGGTGTCAAATAATACAAATATTCTTTAGATGGCCATAAAGGCCGGTACAGTGTTCAAGATGTAGAAGCCACACCATCTATTAAATGGAACATAGTGTGATTAATTATGGGTTGTAAAGAAAGTGTAGTTCTTGTTGATGATTGATAGGCCACATTTGGCTTTCTCATCAAAATTCTTTTGATTATTTTATTCAGATATTTTAGTTAATCTATGGATGATGACGCCCATGCATTGAGTTGATTAAAAGATAGTTCTCTTGAAGCAAATCAAGTGAATTTATAGAATTATTATTACAAAAAAAATGAATTTTTATTTTTATTTTTCTTGAAATGTTGGTTAATTTTCTTTTAATTGTTATTTTTTAGTAGATTTAACTAAAAATTTATTTCTCATCAGATAATATCTTTAAAAAGATTAGAGAATGTATTAATTATTATAATATATAGGATCATAAATATGCAAATCAATAAAATTTGTTAGGATTAGTGCTTAATTATAAAATACACAATACTTTATTAAAATAAATTTTAATTTTTTACCAGTAATTAAATTATTATTCATGATGATGGACAAAAAAAAAAGGAAATTTACATAAAAGATTCAAATCTTAATTATTTACAAAATTTATACTCTCTTAATTAATTTTATTTATCAAATTATCATTTATATTAAAATTCATAACAAAATTTTGATTGTGACATGCAAAAATATATTATTAATTAATGTTTTGAATAGGTGATAATTTTATTAATAAAATAGATTCCAATATTAGCATTTGTGTAAAAATGTCTTACAAAAATAATTCTTTATAAATTCAAAATTTCCTTAGTTTAATATGATCCTAGAGATATTATTACTTTAATTAAACATTATATTTTGTTTGGATAAAAGGAAAATTAAAGAAAATGAAATGAGATAACCCCAATTTATTAATTAATTACAAATTTCTACAATATTCAAAATTCATTTAATAGTTTAGAATCTATTTAGCATAAACTTTTTGAAAAGATTACTTTCTCAATATGATAAATGTTCATTAAAAACACCTATAAATATCAACTCTTTCTATCAATTCAATTATTAATCACCTTTTTTATTTAATTATTTATTACTCATGATTAAAATATTACATTATTCTTATAAAATTTTCATAATATATATATTTCAATCATTCTATCATGCAATAACTATATACTTTATTCAATGAAACAATTATATCATGCAATGCAATTTTGCTAAATTTATAAGTCAATTTAAATTCATTACAAACATAACCCTAATGCTTACAATAATATACCCACAAATCAAAAGAATAAGATAATAAAATTTCACACTTAACTACATGTCCTTAGTTTTGTAATTAACAACTCTTAACCCAAATTAAGAAAAAAAAGGAGAAATTATGAGAATTAATGGAAAAATGGTTAAAATTTCCATATCCATTTCCCTCACCCATTTTCCTTAATATTTTAGCACAAATACAGAACTAACAACATTTATATTTTTAATATTTTCTACAATTGTTTTCCCTTCTTTTTGTTTTGCTGCCACGTGTCAGTTTTGGAAACTTTTGCAAAATTTTGCCACCTATTGTTGTAAATAGCAAAAATCTTCCAGATTCCACAAATTGTCACTTATCTCCCCTCCAAATCCCCAATACTGTTCCAATTCCGGCAAGGCCTGGTAGCCATATCCGGGGCTGGGCAGAGAGGGCTCCGGCCATCCGCCGCCGCAGCCTATCTGCGCCGGCAAACTAAGCTGAATCGCTTCACCTGCCTTGAGCTTCTCGGCCACTTCGTACCCGGCGGCGCCGCTACTGGAGACGGTGGTGGCCGGGCTCTCTGGTCCGGGCTTGACGATTTCCCCAAGCCCGCCCCATCCGGTCCCGGCCTCGAAGGCGTGGTCGCCGGCGGCGAGGTTCCCGTAGTCTGCGACGGATTCCGTTGCTTTGGAGTTGGCGGAAGCTGCACGGATCCGTTCAATGAGACGGGGCATCCATAGGTAGCGCATGACGTCCTTGAACTGCTTACTGTCAACGTCACACTGAAGGTGCTTCGCATGCTTCTGCACTCGAGTCCGCCAATAATTCTTTATTTCGTTATCCGTCCTTCCGGGGAGGTGCTGCGCAATCTTCGACCAGCTGAACAGTAAACAAAATGTTCCGGCACATCGGAGGGTGAGAATTTTAGGGGAGTTTATGTAATTAAGTAGATGTACTTTTTTTTCTTTCTGGAATTACCGGTTTCCCCAGCGAGAGTGGAGCTCGAGGATGAGTAGCTGTTCCTCCGGTGTGATGTTACCTCGCCGGACGTCCGGCCGGAGATAGTTCAGCCACCGAAGTCGGCAGCTTTTCCCCGTTCTCTTAAGCCCTGTTCCACATCGTAGAAGAAGAAAATTCAGAGAGAGAGAGAGAGAAACAGAGAGTTCTGAATAAATAAAGACTTGAGCTTCACGATTTCTTTAGTTATAATCTATAACCGTAAAGACACCCAAGATTGGATTTTGATCGAAGATTGATGAAGGAATAGTAAATAATGGAAAGATAAAAGTTAAAAAGTTGTGATTTTTGTCGCTTGGATTGGAGCATGGTTTACCTGCGCAGCGAGCAAGTGAGTTCCAGCGACCCTCTCCATGACTGGATATATAGTTCATTAGAACAAGGTCCTCCTCTAGCGTCCACGGCCCTCTCCTCAGCTCCATCTCCTCCTCGCTATGAGGAGTTGCAGAACTACATGCTCCTCCATGTACTTCCATCTCCCTAACTGACGATCACAGAGCGACAGAGAGAGACAATCAAATAGAAGAGAGAGAGAGAGAGATGCGCAAGATGTGAAGGCTTGTGAAATTGTATTGGGATGGAATTGGTTTGATTTGATGAAAAGCGAAGAGAAGGGCATTATATAGAGGTAAAGTGGCATGTGTGGAAAAACTAAACAAAAATATTTAAAAATTATAATAAGCATGAGATCCTTTATAAGACAGAAAGTGGACTCGTTTGAAATTGCGAGCCAAACGACTGACTGAGGATGGCTTTGAATTCTGACTTTTCTACTGCTCCTTTCTTTCTTATTTCGGTTCTTCTTCTTGCCAGCTCGGTTTCCCTCTATGCGCTTTTTCTTCTCATTGTGATCAATCTTGAGGTGGGACGTGGGAATCTGTCTTCTAGTTCAAATTCTCTTGCTCAGTTACAGGAGATGAGTGAGGATTTAGCTAAGGAAAATGATTCTTAGCCGAAAGTATTTGTAGAATACTTCAAATTGAGCGTACGTGGCAGCATTTTAAGGCATGGGAGCTACGTTGCTTGTCAAATAGTTTCTCTGAGTACGGTTAGTTTCCATTGCTGGCTTTTTTTTTTTTTTTTTTTGGAAATCAGGGTCAACGGCCAAATATACACAGATTCAAATTCAGGACTTCTTAATTGAGAGTCAAATTTCTAATCAATAAACTAAGGAGAGCTACATATTGCTGGGTGTTTTGAAAAGTGAAAAAAAAAGTGGCAGAAATCCTACAATCTAATGGAAATTGTTATACAGATTTAGAAGTCTCTGTTCTTGTTGAAAATAAAATTATTTGAATTAATATAATTTTCATTTGAATGAATGATGATGGAATCTCTTCAATTCTTATATATGAATTCCTTATGATAGGTAATTTTAAGTCAATGATTGCAATGAATACTCTACATTTTAGTTAAACTGTCAATAGGCAAATGATACTAATTAGGCAGTTAATGAGCTATTTTAAGTCTCTAAATATCTTTTAATTGAGAGAATTAGGGCATTGAGGCGGATCCCCACTCATTCGAGGGTGGGCAAATGCCCACCCTAAAAGAAGAATTAATGTATAAGTTGATAATTTTGTAATTCTGCCACCCCCCCAATATATATATATATATATATCAAAAAAAAAAAAAAAATTGCCCTAACATGACCCAATACCCATCTTGCGCATGCCTGCACATCACCCAAAGTTCCGAAATGTTTTGTTTTTGGCGTTGGCATTGGCGAATTGCGCGCATCCTTCGAGAATTTGGCTCAACACACGTGTGAGTACCTTCTGTGAAAAGTTTATGGAACGACCTTTGATCACCCTTTGGGTTTTCCTTATGGTCGTCTCCATTGTAGGGCTCATCGGCAGTTGTTGCAGTGTTTTGTGGCTTCTTTGGCTTCACCTTTTTTCATGTTTATTCTCATCTTGCTTGTCTTTTGCTTCACTATTTTCACCTTTGTTGTAACCAACAACGGTGCAGGCGACTAGGCGAGGTCGTCTCTGGTCGCGGGCATAAGGAATATCGTCTCGATGATTACTTTAATTGGCTACAGAAACACGTATTAAATGATGGTAACTAGGCTTGGATTCAGAGTTGCATTCATGATAGCAAAGTCTATAGCAATTTAAGAGAGAAGAACTAGACATTTGATCAATTTGTTAAAGATAACCTTACCCCCTTTAGGTATGCCGATCTTTAAATCGTCCTCACATTCTTTGAATCTTACAACACTGTTTTCAGTCCCTGATTTATTTTTAACTTATGGAGATATTTTTGGTTACAAGTTTAAGATCTTACATCTTACAATAATTTTGCTTGGGTGAGGGGACTTGTGTTCTTCAGCATCTGCAAGTTTAATTTGATCGAGTCTTCCTTGTTTTACTTTGTCTTCTTTTTTATCTTTTTTCTTAAAAATTGTTATGATTTATTGATAAAATTTTCTTTTTCTTATCTTTTTTCCTTATTAGTTGACTTACATGTTACCTGTTGTGCTTTAGGTTGTGTTGATTTGTGTTAATAATACTAAGAATGCTTAACACTTTTGATGCCAGTTTCCTGCAATTTAGATACTAAAAAACAAGATGCTAAATCTTAAATTTTTTTAGATCCTCTTATAAGATATTTGGCAGGTTTTGGTTTGATTCCAACTTAAATTCTCCTTAAAATGGCCAACCAAACAAAGGCTACGATAGGTAATGAACCAAGTTTTGTAAAGAATATTCAAATTGTTGAATTAGATAACATAGCTTTTCTCATTAAAAAAAAAGCTTGATCAATGTTCACCAATGAAGCAACTAGTAGAGCATGCAGACCCACTGCAATTTAGGTGAAAGCAGGCATGGGGATCTGAATATTATAAATCACCTACTAAATCATACATAGACATAAGTATCCATATTTTTATAAAATATGCATCAGTTTTTAAACATTGGAGAAAAAAGAACATCCGTTCAATGACATTAGATATGAAAGGAGACAAGGCTGTCTTGATGCCTTAGAGACTTGGCCACTGCAAGAGTGTAATGAGCTACTTAGTCACTACAAGAGTTTTCCCACGCTGAAAAAAAAAGACTGGATTTGCCCCTGTTAGGGCACCGATTAAATTGAAATGAATTAACAAGCCCTCTGTGTAAGTTTCTAGTATTTGCGTTGCCTCTCTCAATCCCCCATTTTCTAGAGTTTTAGGGTGAACTTAAGTACATCATTTAGCATTTTAGCCTTGATATTTCAATGATGTATCAATTGGTGCTCTTGAAGGTGTTTTGTTTGTCATATTATTAATATAATCTATGATGCTCTTGAAGGTTTTTCACATTCTCAAACTCTTCTAGGGTTTTTGCCTATTGGTCCCACATAGATTTCTTATGTTTATATTTGAGTGCTATTAGTTTTTAAACAAACACATGACTCAAAATGGCACATTAACTCAAATATTCACTTTAAATTATAATGATTGACCATGTCAAGTTACCATTAAATTTGATCATATGATATTATACATTAAAAAAATTTTATAAGGTTGGATGTATTCTATAGATAAGTCGCCCCTCTTTAATGACATGTTAAGATAAAAGCAAATAGAGTTAATGGGAGATCGATGGAAGGTTCCCTAAAATATACTTCGGAAAGATAATTTCCATCTCTAAAAATAAAAAGATTTTTAAAAGGATTTCAACTAAAGAAGAATTTGTATCACACTAATCTTATAGCAAATGTAAAGATTTTTGGTACCCATCTTAACATGATTTCCATCATGATATCTAGCATAATTATGTATTTAATATTATATCTTTTATTTGTTTACTGATTTGCTTATTTGACGAATGAGTCATATATAGCAAAAACTATTTGTGATCATCAAACACCCCAATTCATAGCCTTCTCTCATAGAAAAAAGACTTCTCTGTCAAAAAATAAAAACTTTGATCTTTATAACAACACATGCAAAACTTTATTTATCATATTTGATATTTCAACAAAAATCGCCTTGATCAAGCATGAATACTGAGGTATATTCTAATTGGCAACTTCCAAAAGTAAATGTGGGACCATCTGAACTCTAATTTCAGCAAGCTTATAGCCAAATTAAACGTTTCAGTGAGATGAATCAAACAATAACAAAATCAGTCCAATCCTAGCCCAAATGGGCACAAATCAATGGCTTAAAGCATATTCAAAAACTCCAAAACATTATTTGGGTGACCAAATGATATACAAAAATGACATGCTTATAGTTGAATCGAGTGGATCGACGAGATGAATCCAATGAGCCAAAGATCACTTAAGTTTGATATCACTAAAGCATCTAATTACTAAATAAACACTCTATGAACGAGGGAACCAATATGAGCCGTTCGATGGAGCACTCCAAAATTACTATGGGTCTTCATCATATTTATGAAGCATGAGCCTCTCAATCCCTTCGACCTCTGTTGCTCGCCGACTACTGTCCCACCGACAACCATTGCCTGTAAACTACTGTCCTTTCGACCACCATCGCCATCCGACTACGATCCCTCCAACCATCAACGCCTATCGACTATGATCCCTGCAACATCTGTCCCTCGACTACAATCCTACCAACTAAATGAACATGCCAAATTCTCTTGAGAACAACTCTTACGTCATTTGATTTTTCTAACTTCAACTATATAATGTGCTTTATATGATTTATTTTGAGCCAAAGCTTTTCCCTAATGAAGGGCATTATTTGTAATCAACAACAAACACTAGTTTATTCCTTTCAACTAGGCAAGGCCCGATGACTTTTCCCCTATTTCAAGATTTTTCACATAAAAATTATAGTGTCTTTTATAACTCTTGCACCTCTCTCCCTTTATCTGTCTATGTGTTGGGTCTTCGGTAAAAGCTAAAACGTTAAGCTTTTTATCTCTCTACGACAACAAATATTATGGCCCGCAATAATATTAATTTCACCTCTCCACTTTTTTCTTTATGTTTCCCATACCTCTCCACTCTTTCTTCCCTAAAAGGCTTAGGCAGCCCATCCCTCCTCTCCTCTTCCTAAAGGTTTAAGCCCTATCCTCCTTTCAATCTTAAGAAGACTTAAGAAACTAAGTTACATATTTATTATTATGTCTAGATCAATAATTATCATATAGGGCTAAATTTTTAATGATAAAAATAAAGGTAAATTTTTTATAACTAGAGAAGGAAGAAAATTACCATTAAACAAAAATTTGATCATATCATTTTGATTTTTTTTTTCAATGTCTCATGATATGTCAGAGATATACAATTTATAAATATAAATGATGAATGAGGTATTAAAATTCAACTTAAGTGATCAAATGATCACCTATATGAAATTAAAGGACCAAAACTAATATATACTATATTTATCTTATTTTAAAAAAAAAATCAAAGATGAACAACTAAATATCCAAAATAGTTCAACCTTACAAGAAAATTGATAATGACATGCAATATCTCAAAGCATGCTAACAATTAGAAGTTCAATTAATAATGCCAATACTAATTAACAAATAAAGTTGGATATTAAGGCTTCGTTTTGGAAAGCTTTCTTACTGCTTTATAAAGAAACTTTTTAGCGCAAAAAATTCTAATTCAAAAAAAAAATTTTGTACGAAAAAACTGCTTTATAAAACATTAAGAAAGTCATCCCAAATGAAGCCTAAGGGTTCATTTGGGACGGCTTTTTCTCTGCTTCTTAAAGCACTTTTTTAGTACAAAATTTTTTAATTTTGTACTAGAAAGATGCTTTAAGAAGCAGAAAAAAGCTATCTCAAACGAAGGTTGCTTTCTTGCTACTTCTTAAAGAAGCTTTCTTGTAAAAAATTAAAATTTTTATACGAAAAAGTTGCTTTAATTAGCA